ACCTACGCAGCTACCCTAGCAGCTTAAACCTTTAGGACTGCAATAGCTATTAGAGCTAAGTTTAACCTTAAGATATATTAATATAACGTTGTTAGAGCTTTCCTTAACGCCTTAAGGGATTAACACCCTATAGTTATCTATAAGCTACCTAAAGGATATTAAATACCTAGGAAGTGCGTTAAGCTTAAACAAGCTCTATATAGATTAAAAGACTTACTATTATTATAGTATAACAAGCTCTTAACTACACTCTAAGAAAATAAGCTTATTGCTTCTAAAGAGGAGCCATGCCTATTCTTTAATAGAGATTGCAGTATCTTGTTAATATTCTATATAGACAATATCCTATCGCTCTATTACTAAAACTACGCAAGCTAAGCTTACAAAGTTATCTAAGCTCTAAAGCAAAGATATACTATAGAAGAGAAGGGACCTGTAAGCTAGTTTCTAGGGGTAAGAGTAATCTAGGATAGAAAGAGATAGACAATAACGCTTATTTATAATAAATACATTAACAAGACTGCAAAGAAATTTAATCTAGTAAAGATAGGAAAATTCCCTACTACACTACTATTAAGTAAAGATATTAAAAAGAGCACTAGAGAAGCCACTAAAAAGGAGATTAAGGACTATCAGGAGCGCGTTAGATTAATCCTTTACACCTTAATTATAGTGCGCCCTAATATTGCCTATGTAGCCTCCTAGCTCTCCTAATACCTTACTAACCTATCTAAACAACACTTTAATACAGTTAATTAAGTAATTGTCTATCTATACTAAACTTAATACTAATTAATCTAATATAGGAATAGGGATCCTAATAAGCTTATAATATGCAGTAATACGTTATTTGCTAATAATATTAATACTTAGCGATTATTATATAGATACCTAATCACGCTCTTTAGAGGACCTATTATTTAGAAGGTAGCTTAACAATTAACTATTACTACTTTAACTACTAAGGCAGAGCTCCTTACGCTTAAGCAAGTAAGTAAAGAAGCAATAGCGTTAAAATGCTTTTTAACTAAAATACACCTTACTTTAGATACTACCTAGATAATTAATTATAATAATTAATAAACTATTAGGTTAGTAGTAGGCAATAATAAAAGGATCACCACTAAGCTACGCTATGTAGATATTTAAAACATGTAGCTTAGGCAAGAGTATATAAAAGGATCTTTCTATATTACCTACCTACCTACTAGTAATATACTAGCTAATAGGCTTACTAAAAACCTAATAGTATAATAATTTATAAGGTTTAGGGAGCACCTAAAGTTATATAATAGCAGAGTATATATTATATAGCGTTAATTAAAGTAAGGTAGTATATAAGATCTATTAATATATAATATAAAAATAACTAACTATAGCCTACCTCTTTATTATTAACTAGGTAGCTTCCCTAAGGAGCTCTATTACGCGCGCAAAGCGTGCCTTAGAGTCTATAGGGAGCCGCCTAGGTTACCCTACCCTAGGATCTATAGGGGGAACCTTAGAGGAGCTAGAGTCTTTATCTTCTAATAAGGAGCTCTAGGCGCCCTTAGCTATAGAAGCAGCCTTGCGCGCAAGCTTAGCAGTAGTAGTAGTAGCTTTTACTAGCTCCTGCTATTTAGCCTTACTCTCCTTAAGGAGCACTAAGACCCTTTGCTTCTTATCCTTAAGAAGGTCTTAGCTCTTACCTGCCTGCTTCCTTGCTAGGAAGGATAGTATAGAGTATTAGGTAAGCTTAGGGCTATTAATTAGTTTATTAGTATAAGATCTTGCTAAAAGCATTATAAAGGAAAAATTCTTATATAGATTATATATATTAGGATATAGCTATACCTAGAGAAAGTACTACTAGCACTAAGTCCCCCTACTAGAAGAGTTATAGCACTTACTATTAGACTTATTAAAGAGCGTAGAGCGTAGATAATTTAGATAAGTTTTAGCACGATAAATACTAGACTCTCTATAGTAGGAGGATCTTAGGGTCTCCTTAGGAGCTAGAGAGGGAGCAGGCGTAGGAGTAGGGGCCTTAGGCGGGGTCTAGGGGGGAGCAGGAGCTAGAGTTAGAGCTAGAGTAGTAGGAGCTAGAGTAGGAGCGCCTTACCTTAGCTTTATAATCTTAGCTATAGTAGTAGTAGCTACGCACTTAGCTACTGCATACTCTATAATAGCCTTACACTTAGTAGTAGCACGCTCTTCTTTAGTAGTAGTAGCTTTAGCAACTATAGCTTTAGCTACGTAGGAGGTAATAAGGGCAGCGTAGGTAGAGCAAGCGCAAGTAGTAGTTTTTAACTTTAACTAAGATAGGTTAGTAGGGATATAGGTATAGTTTAGATCTTTAGGGTTATATAATCTTATAACTTAAGCTATAGTAAAGATTATAGTTAGGTAGATAGAGTTATAGAGCTCTATCTAGACAATATCTACGCGCGCAAGCGCAGGCTAAATAAGGAAGGCGCGCTAGTTAGTATCTAAAGGGTAAGCTAATTTAACCCTTTAGATATACAACGCTCTAATTAGCCACACTACCTACTAACTATAAGCGTAACTATAATAACAATAAAAGATCTACCTATACCTAGAAGGTGTGTTATAGGAGGGATATTAACTAGATTATAGAGTATCTTAATCTAATTAATCCTGATTAATACCCCTGTATAACCTACTATCTAATTAACTGCTAGCTTACTGCCAAGTGCCTAATAAAAAGCAGGAGCTCTAGTAAGGAAGGTTTACTAATTATTTACCTTCTAGTAAGGGTAGCTAAAGCTCTATATATATAAGTCCGATCGTAGTAGATATAATCTAATAATCCATCTCCCAAATCATTCCTAACCTTAGTAATCCAAAATTTCACAATTAGTAAAGGAACCCTATTAGACTTAGATACTTACTAGATTGCAATACTTATTCTAGGAGATATAGTACTAGCACTTCTTAGAATTCTTTAACTTAAAGTTAAAGTTATTAAACTTGCCCCTAGCTAGAGCCCTAATAGCTCTTATATAGAGAGCGCGATAAGTAATAGGTAGGACTTCTAGTAGTACTAGTACTAGTATAGCTAAAGGTTCTAATTTAGATTAGTAACTACTTAATTATATAGATTAAATACTTACTTAATTTTAGATAGATTAGGTTAAATAATTAAAAAATTAGGGATATAGGAATAAGAAAGTTAGTAGGTAGAGGGCTAGTTATAGGCAGGCTAAGGATAGGGGTCTATACCCTAGGAATATAAAGTAAAGGTAAAGGTAGAGGTAAAGGGAAATTTATTTTATAAGAGCTTTTCTTTAATAAGAGATCTAAACCTAATCCTAAGGATAGGGACTATCCTTTTTCTATAGGAGGGGGTAGTGTAATAATAAGGCAGAATTACCTGCCTATTATTCTATACTAAGTTAGGCCTAATAAAGGCCTAACTTACTAATATATATAGAGAACAGCTTGCCTATAGTTAGGATAGGTATATTCTTCTTGTCCTTTTGTACAAGACCTATAGGTGTAGGAATCTTATCCTTTTCTATACAGACGCGCACTCCTATATGCCTTTAAGTTATATAGGATACCTTTTAGATACCCTACCTACCTAAGTTATTATAACTAGTAGTAGTATATAAGGATATAATAGAGGCTATATAGGCTAGATAGATAGAAAAAGAGTAGAGAAAAGACTAATTAGTAGGGAAAATCTATAGTATAATAAAGTATATTTAGGAAGTTTATAGTAAGGTAGGATAGCTATATTAGAACTTTTATAGTAGGGTGCTAAAATAAGTATATAGACGCTACACGCTTATACTACTTTATATATAGGCCTATTATAAATTAGGATAGAATATAAAGATATAATATTAAAACCTAAAATATATATTAATAAAGCCTAATATAGATTATAGAGGATAAAGATATAACCCTAAACCCCTAAAAAGATAATTTTATAATAGTTTATAGGGAAGGTTAGGGGTATATAAAGGGCTTAGGCTTATACCTAACCCTAGGCCTAATATAAGATAGACTAAGTCTAACACTACTACTAAGTAAACACGCTACACACCTATAAAAAGGCATAGAGGGCTTACCTTTCCTTTAAGATACTAAATACTATTATTAACGCTTATTGTATTCTCCCTTAAGGCTAGTCTATAATACTTAGCACTAAGCTAGTAGTTAATTAGATAGTAGGTTATACATAGGTATTAACTAGGATTAATTAGGATTAATTAGGATTAAGATGCTCCGTGATCTAGTTGTTATCCCTCCTCTAACATAGATATAATCTAATAATCTATCTCCTAAATTATTCCTAAGCTTAGTAATCTAAATTTCTATAGTAGTATTTATTTTATAGGTACGGCGCCTACCTATTACAAGACCCTATTTATAACCTAGCGCAACCTATAACACTACCTAACCCTAACCCTATTAAATAATTTTGCTACTTAGTTAGCGTTTAGTAGGGGTCACATTAACCCTAGGTAGGGGTTAGGTAGGGGTTATATTAACCCTAGGTAGGGGTTAGGTAGGGGTAGTAGGAGCTCTAGGCTAGGGTTAGGTAGGGGTGGTAGGAGCTCTGGGTTGGGGTTGGGTAGGGGTGGTA